ATAGGGTTTCATGTATAATATTACAAAGTTGAACTCAAAACATTCAGCAAGAAAGAGACGAGAAATAGAACAGAGCATACCAAAAATGAATCGGCGGCGGACTTTGACTCGTTCCATTGCCATTCCTACGGTCCACCACGTTTTCCGACATTCGGTCTATGGCCGGGAATCTATGTAACTATTGTAATCTCATCTTCTCATGGATGCAAGGCAGAAAATCTGAAAAAGAGAAGATCTTATAGTAATATGTCCACACAGTAGTATGACAGTTTATTCCCCTTCCCAACCCATTTGTCGAGCTCTTTGCTCCCACGATGTTGTAACTTTCCTCTCACGGATTAGCAAGGCCTCGGCTCGCTCTCTTGCTTCCTCGCAGGTTTCGGTGGCCGAGATACATTTTTCAGCCTCCTTTTGGTACTGGGAAGCCACCCTTTTCGCCTCACCAAAGGTGATGTTCACATGACGGGAATGCTCGTCGGCAACAGCCTCCTGCAACTTCAACTCCTCCATCAAAATGTCCACGAATTGCTTCTCCATCTCTTGTTTGAGATCAGGGTCATTGCTTCCACAATCTGTGACATCATAGTTCATATCAGGCATACATGATTCTGGTTCATCAGATGAAACGGCAACGACTCGATATAGGTTAAAAAGTCGAATTCGAAGAAATAAGTCATAAGTAAAACCGACTTGAGTTGATAAAATAAACTCTAACCTGTGACTGAGAGATTGCTCAATCCTACAGAAAAAGAACAAAAGCACAAAAAAGATGAGTAATTCACTCAGACAACTACAGTTTCGAGTAGCAGACACATGCACACTTGACACAAACTTTTACAACCAGTGCCATCGAAACTAGCAGAAACACAAAAGGAGGAAATCAATGGCGAAAATGCATAAGCTGCGGATTCGACATGATAGATCATCATCACAAGGTAATATAGTCCAAACACAAGAGAAGAGGTAATGTCAGGCGTGAAAGAAACCCGAAAATGTAAAGACCAGTTCATCGTCCTAGATGTAAAACCCGGAGAGTGTGTAGTTTATATCTCCCTACATACCGAAAAGTAGCAAAATAACAGGACAAAGGGAACCATAACTCTTTTCTACGACATGTTATTGTATGGTTAGTAAGCCCTACAATCTCGAAATGTCGATCACCATTGATAATGCAAAGTGAGAAATCATCGATCGAGTATCGGTTATTGTGAGTGTTTAAATATAGTAATCATATTTTCTCTCATTAAGTGATCAGCGGCTCTTTTCAACACGTAACCGCCGTGCTATCTCCGGACACCATCACTCTTTTTTCCATGTTTCAGATACCACCATCTATTTGGTTGCCTATGCTCTCTCCTTACCCATTCTAGCCATTTTCATTCTGTAAAGATCAACCTTCTTCGGATAGAAAGAACAATACCGACTGAGTTCCATCTTCTTCGTTTGGGTGCACGAATGTAATACTAATATTAACAGAGTCATCATCAGTGATGGACCGAGGAGACACCCAGCAGTTGCCCATAAAAATTTCAAATTATCGTATGTTATAGATATTTTCTTTGTATTTTCTATTGATAATTTATTTTCGACCTCTAAAGTTTTATAAATTCGCCACTAAAAATAAGCTTCACAAATAAGTACCTAAAGTTTTCATTTAAGTATCTAAAATATTTTTTTTGATCAAAATAAACATCTAAAGTTGAAACGTAATATTAATTAAAGAATACTTAAGCCCAAAAATATTATAAGTTGTCACTCTAACATAAAATCTTACTCCTAATCATCGTTCACTTTAACTCGAAACTCCTTACAATTTTGTCCCACAAGAGATCCCAGATGTGGGATTGAGTTCATTACTCAACATATGATTAAGCAAAGCAAGCACAAATCCGAATTCAAATTAGGGTTTACTCGCAAATCAACACCCAAGCAGCAGCAACAAATCAAAACCCCAAATCGAAGAAACAGGAACTTCACAAAGAATTAACAAACAAACTCAAACCCAAATCTCAGAATTCAAAGTTAGCAACAAAACAGCAGATCAAAACTTCAAATTCCTCAAATGGGCAATCCATAAGTAAATAAAAAAATCTGACAGTAAATCCAGAATCACAAAAAAGGGAAGCGATACCAGGCGCAACGTTGAGGAGGGAAAGAGGAGGAGGACAATCACAGTTGCAAGGAGGACAAGAAGATTTGGAATCAGTGAGCTTGAGAGTAGTTTTGTTGAATCTCCAGTAAAGAGCTGGTCCACAAACTGCAATAGCTGAAACTACAGCAAATTTTACGAGGCATAGCCTCAAGCAAGTCCCTGGTGATGATCGCCTTGACATGGTTTACTATCTTCTCTATCTCTTTACTTCGATTCTCTCACTCTTTCTCTTATAGTGCTGATGGAACACTGAGATCTAAACAGGGGTGCATTGATTGGTGACTATAAAAATGAAAACTACTGCTTCAACTGCTTTTTTAATGTTTTCATTCTCATGTCATTTTTCCATTAACCTTTAGAAATTAGCTTCTTTCACCCAAAAAAATAAAATAAAATAGTGTAAATTACGTGTTTAATATCTAAACTATCAGTTTTAATTTGTTTTAGTATTTAAACTTTTAATTTTTTAAATTCATACCTAAAGCTTAGTTTTTATTTTATTTTAGTACCTATCATTAAAAACTTTAGTTTTGTTTCATTTTAGTACTCCATCCAAAATTTATCATTAAGTTTTGAAAAAATTAAAAGTTTATGTACTAAAACGTACCAAAAAGGATAGTTTAGGCACTAAACACGTTACGTTTTTAATGGTGGGTATTAAAATGAAATAAAAATTAAACTTTAAATATGGTTTAGAAAAAATAACATTTTAAGTATTAAAATATATCAAAACTAATAGTTCAGATAGTAAAAGTAGGTACTAGACCTTTAGCTTCAAAATCGGGTTTCACCAAAAACAATCAAGATTAAATTATAAATTTTATCACTCAAATTTAATTTTACTCCTGTTTTGGTCGGTAAATTTTAAAAAATTTCATTTTAATCACTAAAATTTTAATTTACTCATATTTTAACCTATAGAACATTAAATCATAAATAAAAGGATGATATAATAGTCATATGTGTTGAAGTGGACTATTTTTTATTGACATGTACATATCATCAATTTCATATTTTCCTTTTTATCTTTTGGTTTTATCTTTTTTTTAGAGATTAAGATTTACAACTTCATCTCTTTGTCACATTGACGTCATAATCAACACGTTTTCTTCAACCACTCAATATATCGTTGAGCTTGTCTCATCGTCTCTGTTCACTTCATTAGTTTACATTTTTCTAAATCTCAAAACTTGCAAAATTCAACTTAAAACTTAAAAGTCGTAAAACCCCAAAACCTAAATTTAATTAGATATTATATTTATTGAATTAAATTAAATTAAAAGTATGAATATATTGATAAAGTGATTAGATATAAGAATTAAATGTGTAATTATACTAATTTTTTAACACCCACACATGTTACTCTACTAAACTATAGATGTTGATGACTTGATTGACAACACTTAAATAGTCTGATTGACAAAATTAAAAAAATAATGGTCAAAATAAAATACACTCATAATTAAGTGGACATAGATCTAGTTTACCCAAAATAATACTATATTTTTTATTTTAAAAAAACTTGCGAGCAATGCATAGTATTAAACTGCGACTGCAACTATATCATAACTAGGGGTGTAAACGAGTCAAGTCAAGTTTGAGTATTTCTGCACTCGACTCGAAAACTCGCGAGTTTAAAATTTTTAAGCTCCTCGACTCGAACTTGAAATCTTGAACTGAAGCTCGTGAGCAGCTCGAAATGAAAAAAAAATTCTTAAACTTAACAAGATTGAATCCTCAAACTCGAACCTGAACCATAAATATATAAAGACTTATTGTATTTAAAAAAAATCAACACATAAATATTAATATTATTAATAATTTTTTTTTAAATAAAATCTTAATATATTATATTTTCGAGCTGCTCACGAGCTTTTCGAGTCGAGTATCAAGTAGCTCGTTTCTGCTCATTAAGAATTCGAGTCGAGTTCAAGTTCGAATCGAGTCCATTCAATCCGAGTATTTATCGAACCTTAATCGAGTCGATCTCGAGTAGCTCACAATCTATCTCGTCTCATTTACAACCCTAATCATAACGATTTTCAATATCGTCGTGACACCACATTAACATCCACAATTTAAAAATAATTTTTTTTAGAAAACAAGTTACATGTAACGTTTAAAATATTTGTAACTACTACATTACAATGGCATTCATTATTTAATACTATAGATAATACCTAAATAACATGTAAAGTACACAAATGATTCATTGGTTATAGAGTACTATTTTATTAAGTCCATCAATTATTAAAAGTTACAAAATAATCCTTCAACTATAGAATATTGCTTTGTTGAGTCCCTTGACTATTAAAAGTTACAAATTGATCATCCAACTATTCATTATATTCCAAACTCGTCCTTTTCGTTAAAAAAATTGACGGTATTCCAAGTTAAATGCTAAATTACTGATTATGATATGATAAAAATATGATCCTAGAATCTCGTACGACTATCCTATTTCAGTCATCATGTTAACGTCCGACTTAGATAAATTTCAATTTTTTAGCAAAAAAAGGAGTTTGGAATATAATGAATAACCGAGTGACAATTTTCTAAAATATTTTATAATAAAATAAATTTTATCAATATTATGATTATTTCTAACAAAAAAAAAAGAATTTCAAACATATGAAACTAATATAATGTCACAAAACAGCTCTATGATTGCAACATTTTATTTAAAAATGTCATCTTTCGAATACTTTTAGAAACAAAATCGTAACATCTTTTTCATAGTTTGGACCTTCTAGATTTTAATACTCTGTGACGTATCGCATGCTACACTTATAGATAGATGGACCTACCATCCGCTTCAGATGGTAGAACAAGTGAATGCCATAGCCATCTTTGTCTACAAGTTTTACAGTATACTACAACACTGATTGTTTTTCTTAGCTTGATTGTAAAACATCTGTTCCAACAACCAAAACACAGGTTTGATGTTAGCAGCAACATATTGTTCAACTCAATTCAGATGATGAAGATGACATGGTTTTAATAATAACCAAGATGGGTTGTAAAGACAACAATAATTCCTATAAGAACATGAACGTGGGGGAGGGGTGAAAAAAAAGTAAAAGTAGGGCTGACAAAAAAAAAAAAAAACCGATTCGAATTAAACTATACGATTTGATTCGGTTTGAATTTTTTATCTTACGCTTCAGCTTCAATTCGGTTTAGTCATCTAATTTTATAATTCGATTCGATTTTTTTATATGAAACTTGTTTGTTCCAAATCGAACCGGGTTAAAGAAGAAAATCTAAATCAAATAATTATCTTACACATGTACCTGAGATGCTGCACTCAGATCTGAGCTCTTCTCAACCAAACTGTCCAGCTTCTCACCTCGTGCAAGCACACTGTCAATAGTTTTATGCTGCATTCATTCCCATGATTGAGAGAAGAATTAACAATGAATCAAATCCCAGTTAACATGTACATACATACATACATACATACATACATACATACATACATACATACATACATACATACATACATACATACATACATACATACATACATACATACATACATACATACATACATACATACATACATACATACATACATACATACATACATACATACATACATACATACATACATACATACACACACACACACACATACATACATACATACATACACACACACACATACATACATACATACATACATACATACACACATACATACATACATACATACATACATACATACATACATACATACATACATACATACATACATACATACATACATATATATTAATAACACAAGACTTTTGTATTTGAATTATCATAAATAAAATTTTAGGTAAATATAATTAATAAAATAAAGTTAAAAATACATCAAATGTTACTATACTTAAAAAAAACTATACATACATACATACATACATACATACATACATACATACATACATACATACATACATACATACATACATACATACATACATACATACATACATACATACATACATACATACATACATATTAATAACACAAGACTTTTGTATTTGAATTATCATAAATAAAATTTTAGGTAAATATAATTAATAAAATAAAGTTAAAAATACATCAAATGTTACTATACTTAAAAAAAACTAATGTGGCTCTCGTTTTATTTTTTTCTCTCAATGTAGTTTTCTAATTCAAAAAATAAATTTAATGTGATCTTTTAACTAGTATTTTTCGTCGTTGACCGTTACGGCGGTTCACAATGATGACGTGACAGTTCACAGTGTTAACATGGTGGTCCACGATACTGATATGACACGGTGGTTGATAATGTGGCGGATAACATGATAAATGAGTTCAATTGGTAACTCAAACACATCAACCTAACCTGGATCGCCCGGCGACAAGCATACTAATGAAATCATGACATGTGAAGAGAATACAATGAAAGAATTCAGCAGAATTAAAATAGGCTGCTATTTAAGCCATTAGCAGGCAAAAGTTCCTTTGTAATCCTCAAGTTGCTATTTAGATCCTTGTGTTTATGACTCCAAAGGTACATTTTGACACTCCAACACTCTTCAAAAACGATGCTAAATGGGGCCTAAAACACAATCTCTTTATGCACTTGAACAAACCATATGCAAACCTTAAAGAAAAAAAGATTCAAGTATGGATAATCAACAAAAAGGATCATTGGGGCTGAGCATGGCATAGCATGATAGGTGAAAGCTAAAAGAAAAGTGCATAAAATCACCCCCCCCCCCCGCACACACACACAAGAAAAGAAAAATACTTACAAGGATGATTTTAGTCTCATCCAACTCTCTCTGAATTTTCAACAATTTATCAGCCTCTGCAGGGTCCTGAAAACGGTGAAAGGATCATGCAAGGTGTGAGATTAATTTGAAAAGTTTAATTATACACCCCATATTAAAACACATCATAAAGAATGAGAAGAAAACAGACACCTGAAACTTGGTCAAAGCCTCATCCAAATAGGGCCAAGCTTGAGTGCTATCAGCTTGTGCAGATCTCCATGATTCCCCAAAACTTTGTTGGTATTCATCCACCACCTGCCAAACATTACCCTTTGAAATTTTCCAAAGAAACCCACAGAGTATTCAATCTCACAAACATATTTCAGAACACCAAAAATGCATACCAAATGTGATGAATGCGATCGACAGACTCTTGACATCATCTTAAAGACTTCAACTATCGATGTATTATACACACAGACACATCTACCACCACCCATCGGCCCTGTCCATCTAGTTATTTCTATCAGACGCAAAGAGAAAGGAACAGAATCCAGCCATCTACGGATCATAAAGAACAACCATATCCAACATATATGGTGGCAAGCAACAAGCATAAACATGAGTTACCAGTGGAAAGAAATCAAAAGGTAATAGTATTTTAAGGAAACTTTTAACTATTATCGACACTTTCTATGTATTTCCTGGATCATAAACAGATCATGCTAAAAAGGGGCAAGAACCCAGTGCAGTAAATTTAGGAGTGGAGCTTGTGGTAACTGAATCAGGTGAAATTAGGCCAATATATAGGAGTAGGAGCTTCTGTTGTAAATATAACAACTATCAAAAAGACAATAACTATTGCTCAGATAAATTTTAGCTCATTCTACAGTAATCGAGTCTATGAAGATATATATAAAAGATCATAACCATCAATGAATATGTCCTTCCATTTCCTGCTATAATCACTCTCAGGCCATGACACCTTGTATAATTGAACTAAAAGATACACAATCAATGCAAATACCAATATTGCAGTCAATAAGATTGGATGATATTGAATCTCAAGGTAAATCATGACACAAATATAAGTAGGGACGATCGCATGATATTATATTACCTGGTTGAGAAGCAAAAAAGCACTTCGAACCGGATAGTGACCATCCATAAATCCAATTGCACAAAGTCCATTTCTGTTGTAAGAATGCACCATGTACTCTACATCAAAATCACCAAACATAAATAAATAAATAACCATAATTCGTCATAGCCTCGCCATAATCAACCGGATCATCGTCTGAAACCTAAAATAGAAATGAAATCGACAAAAAATGAAGATCGCAATGCAATAATACAATTATACAAGATAATACACGAAAGATCCAAAGACGGTGTTATCGATCTAATTGGCAGAGATGATAATAGCAGATGCATTAAGAATCAACGAAGAACCTTCGTGCTGGACGGACTGGCGCTGGCCGGGAGGGGTTCGTTCGGCGACGGTTCGAGAGACGAAGACGATGAACTCCCTGATGCTTGGCCTCTGGAAGTAACCGAAATGGCTAACGTCGGAAGCGATGGCTAGTATTATGGGATCGGATCCTTCAGGGTGGCATTTCAATACTAATAACGATGTGATCTTCATCTTTCCTCCTACCAATCACAATCTTCTGTTCCTTCTCTGCAGAAATATCCTTTTTTTTCTTTGTTCGGATCCGTAAGAGACGAAAGTGGAGGATTTTTCTTTCCCTACTAATAACCAACTGCACCATGCAATTTTAAATGTCGAAAAATTTAGAGACAATAGTCAATAAAATATTCAAGGTAAAATATTAAACTTAAAGATACGAAGAAAAATAAATTCTTCTATTAAGAATGACTAGGGATGGCAAAAAAATCCGAATCCGACGGAAAAAACCAAAAATCGAATTAAACGGGGACGGGGGAAAACCGTTTATGCTAAACGGGGACGGGTTTGATAATCCCCGCCCCGATTACCCGACTCGATACCCGACCCGATAAATATTAAAAATAATTATTATATATATATATATATATATAATATTAATAAATTTAAATTTAAATTAAAAAATACATATAATATTTATATATTTAATTTAAATATATATATATATACCCGGTCCGATACCCGACCCGATACCCGTTTAAATAACCGTTTATGTTAAACGGGAATACCCGTTTCCCCGCGGTTTTTCCCGATTACCCAATGAGGATCCCCGTTTAAATCTCTGCGGTTTTTTAAGCGGGGACGGGTATGTGTTTTTTAAACAGGGACGGGGACGGGGACCAGGGGGACCAATACCCGGCCCGAACCCGGCCCGTTGCCATCCCTAAGAATTACAACCAATATTAAAATACAATAAACTTCATAAAAACTCATTGTCTCTGTCGAATGAGACACTTTACGAAGTGATAAAAGAGTGGTGAGTGAACTAAATAATCTGACAGAAGGGATCTGACTATACGTGACCCCAACAAATCAATCAGAAAATAAATGTCGTGATAATTTTTGTGCTTGAACCAGAACGACCAAAAAGGTATAAGAAAGACGTACCAAAAACCATACAGATCGTGCCACAAAAATAGAGAAAACGCGTGTCATAAGAATAGAGGAAAAAATATGTCACAAAGATAGAAATTCTTATTCAAAATTAAAAAGATTCAAGAAAAAAAGAAAAAAAATACATAATATAAAAAATAATAGAACTAATAGTTACCAGCGGTCGACAACTAATATTAAAATTGGTGTCGTCGCCGGCTAAACAAAAATTAAAGAGAAATAAGAAGACTATACAAAATATTGAAAAAATTTAGATCAAAAGAAAGGAAAGACTACCAGGGTTTTGTGAATAAGATAATTTTAATTTAAAATGAATCTTTATAATACTCAATTCATATAAGTTAATCAGTAAATTAGATACATATTGATACTAAAAATTATAGTAAAATGTATAAAAACATTAAGGGTAAATTAAAAATTTGATAATTAAACTTTCATGTGATTTCTATTTTACTCATCGTACTTTCAAAATTTTCAATTTGTTCACTCAACTTTATACATTGAATTTTTTTGGACACTCCGTCGTTAAATAATTAACAACGTTATGACGTGGACACTTATACCAAAACGACATAGTTTTGGGTTCTCTGTTAACATCGAAAAGATGCTGACAAACAACTTTTAGATTTTCACAAGCACCCAAATCAATTTCACCTCGAATTCTCCCAAATCAGTACCAAGCTCACAAATTTATTGCACTATGATTCTAAATTGTCTATAAGATGCTCACAAGTCATGGGTGATTGACTGCAAAATCAATTTGCGACAACGTCGGTGAGAGGGTTCATTTTGCAACTGCAAAACCAATTTTCAATTTTCATGTTTATCTGCTAGGATTTAGGGGTTAGGGTTTTGTATGAGATTTTTTTTGTCTTATCAATTTTTATTTTATTAAATAGAAATCTTATGTGGCATCTTATGTGGTTTAGTTTTAATATTAAAATAAGTCACGTCAACCCGATGTTAGTGATGTAAAGACAGAGTGACTAAAAAAACTCAATCTACAAAGTTGAGTGAGCAAATTGAAAATTTTGAAAGTAGAGTGAGTAAAATAAGAATCACATGAAAGTTCAGTTATCAAATTTGTAATTTACCCAAACATTAAAAATATGACTTGAAAATGAGAAAATATAAAAACAGGGGTATGTTTGATTAGGTTTAGATTTTTTTAATAAAAGATAAATCAAATGGCGCTATAAGGTTATCAAAGTTTTTAATTCGATTTGATTCGATTTTATAATTTTTAACTGTTCATCATTTTTCGAACTCAATATCCAAAGATTATAACTATGGCTTTTCACTTTTTATCTTTTTATCATTCGGGTTGTTAGATTTAGTGGCTGAACACAAGAGCACCAAAATCTGAAAAAAAAAGGTTTTTGTTTAGATAACCAGATGAAGAAACAGGATAAATTATATGTTATCTAATTGAACTTTACATGTAGATAGTTTATTCTATTAAACTTTTAATAATTTGGGTAAAGTATACAAATTGTCCTTCAACTATAGGAGACTGATTTATTAAGTTACTTGACTATTAAATGTTATAAAATGGTACTTCAACTATAGAGTGGTATTTTGTTGAGTCATTCGACTATTAAAAGTTATAAAATGGTACTTCAATTATAGAGTGGTATTTTGTTGAGTCCTTCGACTATTAAAAGTTACAAAAGGGTCACCTGATTATTCATTACGTTCCAAACTCATCATTTTCTGTTAAAAAATTAACGATATTCTGAGTTGGACGTTTACTTGTTGACTGTGATATGATAAAATTTGATCCCCAAATCTCAAGGGATTATCATATTTCAACCATCATGTTAACGTTCATCATAGACAACCGTCAATTTTTTTGATGAAAAATAATGAGTTTGAAACATAATAAACAATAGGATGATCATTTTGTAACTTTTAACAGTCGATGGACTTAACAAATTAACATTCTATAGTCGGAAGATCATTTCGTATCTTTAAATAGTCAAAGAACTTAATATAACAATATTTTATAGTTGGAGGATCATTTGTATACTTTATCCTAATAATTTCAATTATACTACTAAATTTGATTTTGACTTCTGTTATAACACGTGATCATTAAACTATAATAATGACACGATGACTTAGATGAATCTTTTTGTTAACGTGATCATTAAATTATAATAATGACACGATGACGTAGATGAATCTTTTTGTTAATGTGATAATAATGTGACAATATCATTTTAGATTTTTGTTAACGTGATTATTAAATTATAATAATGACACGATGACGTAGATGAATCTTTTTGTTAATGTGATAATAATGTGACAATATCATTTTAGATTTTAAACTATGATTGTATATTGATTTTATTACTATTTTAAAAAAAAATCAATCACTCATCGTCAACCGCCATTCATAGCAAAATCAATATCAAAATACTCACTTTTCACTCTCCATTCTTCTCATCGAATTATTTTTTCACGAAATACAATCGAGATCGATAAAAATTCATCCAGATCGATGTGTAATTCATGCACTCCAGACTCACAGAATTTCATAGGATGCCTTTTCACACGCACCTTTAATTGAAATTCATTGCAAAAGAATTCCAATAAATCTAGGTAAGTTCTACCGTACGGAAACCTTAATATACGGTTAAAGAAAAACAATATCGGTTTTGTTATTATATTTTTAACAAAACCGATAAAAAACTACTTAAAACATTATTATTTCTACTGATTTTGTTATTATTAAACGTTTTACCGAACTTGATAATATATCCAGTAAAACGCTACTTAAAACATTATTTTTTCTACCGAATATATTACCAAACCCGATAATAATAAAACCGGTAGAAATAATAATATTTCTTGTAATATTTTACCGATTTTATTAAAAAATAATAATAACAAAACCAATAACTTCTTTTCTTAGCCGTATATTAAGCTGCGTCACGTGAGACTTTCCCATAAATCTAGAGTTCAAACTTTAACATTTACAATGGCTTTCCCAATACTCAAATTGCAACTTCTCTCGAGGAACAAAATAATCTAATAATCGTGGGTATACAAAAATAATGGTGGCATACTTCCATACAAGCCACCATTCTCCAAGTTTCTTCTCCGGCCACGGCAAGAGCAAAGTATCTCCCATCTACGGCAAGTAAACAAGTTCCTGCTCCGATGCCGACACGGCTGTCGCCAAATCTGAGCAATACATCTCAAATTGGCACTAAATATGTGCCACCATTTATGACTAGTTCAATCTTACATTCTCTATTATATACACAAGTATTTAGGGAGGGTACATGGCGGCAGCGAACGTATATGCGCTTCCTGGGAACCCTTATGGAAGGGAATTTTGGGGTCCGATAATTTAACTTGTCACACAGCAAAAACGAGGGTTTATTCGTATTACTTGCTGATCCACCTTCGTTTTCGGGCTGGTCTCTCTGGTTTAATCTCGGAATCTGCAGGAGTTTTGTTCTTGGACGAAGGCGGTGCCTCGTTCTCCATCTTCTTTATTGCCACAGCATCGTTTTCCTTTGGAATCGGAAGTTTGAACCTCTCGCTTCGCTTCTTCAGCTTCTCGACGGTGTCGAGATGCCGATCCTCTGATGGCCTTGGATCAGCATCCTTGGTCTCTGGCTCGTCGGACAAAGGGTGGTGGTTCTCAGCAGGCTCAACTGGAGTACCTGGCTCTTCTAGAGTTTTGTTAGATTCTGAAGCTTCGACATTATTGCTCTTCTCGATCTCCTTGAACTTTGAGGAAGATGATGACTTGCTGTTGATACTGTAATCCCTCTCCTTATGGCTCGTCCAACGTTCCAATTTGGAGCGCCCCCGTGTCGACTCTTTCAATTCATCGCCCGAAGAAGCATCTTCTCTACGTTTTCTGGAAGAGTTATAATGAACTGGATCCTCATTCTTCTCATGACTTTTCGAGCCCTAACCAAGGCAAAAAGGTAACAGTAATAAAGACACAAAACAATTACACTGATTATAAAATAACAAGTAACAACAATGTTCAATCTAAAATTGAAATTCATGACACAAAGGAGAAATCTAAGAACCAAAGCGCTAATCATATATATTAAGCTCAAATCCAACTTTGCTTCATGTTCAATCTAGATCATGTTATCTGAAATTAAGCTATATTGTCAATGGTAAATTACCATTTTCTTTCAAAAGCGAAACCTTCACCAATCCATTCCCTAAATCCAAACAAAGCCTTGATGCAAATGAATAGAATATTATATTCATAGCCAAAAAGCAGGACCATTGAATTCAATTTGCAGGCTTTAACAAGAAAGATAATGACAGCAAAATACTATGGTAAAGAACAGTTGATGATCAATGAACAGAAAATTTCACGTCCAAGTTGCCAAGCTTTGTAAATTGCAGTAAATTATACACAGTGCTTGATGAAACTGCAACTGAAACCGATTGCATGATCACAGAAATTCGGATGGAAATGTGTGTTCTTGTTGGATCAATACAGAATGGGGGAAAAGCCCAGAATTTGAAAAATAAGGGGGGGTAAATTACTCTCTATCTAAAGGTAAAATGTCATGGGCACGAGAATAATGCAGGTAACAAACAAAGTTCTCCAAACAGTAAACAGATATATGCATGCATGCGTGTATATTCATTTAAGGATTTTTAAAGACCTCGTGATCAAGTAACTGAAACCAGAATCTCTAATTTTGAAGAAACTGAATCACCTTCAATAGAAGCTTATCTTTGTATAAGTAGGCACATGTATTGGCTCATTTCAAGAAAACTGCTGCGTTATCTTTCTCCCTAGTGCTACAAAAACATTATGTCCTAGATTCTACGAAACATACCATTTCATTGTAGTGACCACTTAAATTATCTTGATTTCTCTTGGCAGAACCCAAACTGACTGGATCTCCACCTTCAGATTCTCCATTCTTCCTATTGTTCTCTTTATGTTTCTTCTCATGCCCCCTTTGGTTATCTGGAGCATTGACAGCATGCTCACTCCAGGTGCTTGTTCTTTCCTGCCTGGATTTTCTATCATCATTGCTAAATTGGCGTCCCAGTGCATACGAATCTTCACGCCCTCTGCGACGTGAGAAACTTTCATCATCATTCCGATCCCTTCTTTTCACCTGTTCACTGTGGCGAACTGTCTTTTTGAGTTGATATTCCTTTTCTGAAACTTTAAGTTCATCCATTGTCCTGGAGCGGCCAACCCATGCTTTGTCTTCTGAACCACGTCCACTCCTTGCAGTGCCTCGTCCTTCTTCTCTCTCCCGTTTTGATAAACTTTCGTCATGGGATTGCTTTGCCCTATGCCTTTCATCTCTCTCCCGCTGCTTCTCAACCCCCTCTCTATGAAACCAAACCTCATCTTTGTCCCGAACAGATTGATGATCAAAGTTCTCTCTAGTTCTTTGTTGCTCGGCTCTCTTATGCGGGTCTATAAATTCATCTCTTTCTCGCTTTCTGTGACTGCTGCTGGATTCTCTGTTGCCATGCAAGATCACCTCTTTGTCTGTATTATCCCTCCTCAGATACTCCTCATCTTTCCTCCTTTTGTTGTGGTAATCTTCTGTTGTTTCATATCTACTCTTCAAATTATCATTTCTTTCTGTATGTCTAGTGCTGACATCCTTATCATGATGAACTTTATAAATGCCATTATCCAACTGTTTTCTAGAAGATGGATAATCATTGTCACTCCTCTCACTTTCACGAACCTTAGCCCTGTTCCTAGAACCAATTTCCTCATCACGCTCTCTCTTCCTGAAGTCCCCAGTTCTTTTTCTGTTATAAAAATCATCTTCTCTCTGTTGCCATGCAACACCAAGATTATCACTCTCCCTTCTCCGATCAAAACCCTCCATTTTGATGTGCAATTTATGTGATGAGCCAGCATCGAAGTCTCTAAGAGAATAAGAACCTTCCCTTGGTTTACCTACAATTTGGCTTCTTTCAATCTCACGCCTTGCACCACGATCTTTCCACCCTAAATTCTGACCATGCTCATCAAGATGCTTCTTGACAATTGGAATTCGAGAAGAACGTCCACCTTGAACAACTTCATCATCAGCACTGTCTCGCCACTTCTGGTAATCTCTGCTGCTGCCAGATCTTGCTTCACTGTTTTCACTAATTCTTGCAGCCATAGAATCCTCACAACCTTCAGATTCTTGAAGCTTCTGTTGCTCTACTTGAGAACTTAGTTTTTCGTTAAGCGAGCTCTCATCATTATGGGTGTCATTTATCAGCACATCCTTTTCTATAACATGGCTTCTGTCAGCCAACTCAGGCTTATCATCAACATCACCCTTGAGCTCCACACTTACTTCCCTGATCTCTCTAACCAGGAGAGGAGATTTGTGATCCATGCTTTCAACAGATTCTTCCTCATGAGATTGGGAATCAGTGAATTTATCTCGTTTACCTCGAATAGGTGTCATGCGAGGTGACCTTTCATGTGCACTTCCCTTTCTATGCCTGCATGAAGAAGAAGGTTAGTGGCATTTATTCATGCATTTGCAGTATTACCACCTAACCAACAAACTAATGTTTCAAACTAATGAAAAACATAAAAGTAGTCAAAGAGAATGAAAAAGAAGAAGAAGCAATGCTCAAAGTTACAAGCAGCCTTTCAAATCAACTTCTCTCTCACATCCCAAGTATGAAATGGATTATGAAAGCATGGAATTTGCCTATGTAATTAACTCATCAGCAAACAAAAAAGAGTTGATGGCAACAGCAACTTGAATTCATTTCCCATGGCACACATCATTCTAGAAAGTTACTCATCTGGTTAAAGAAAACAAACTATAATGGGAACTGCCACCGCTAGAAATAAGTAAAAGGCATAAGCACCTCTATTAGTTACTTGAACATACAGAGTACAAGTAACATGTGACAATCTTGATCGCTCAACGACAATAAGGAACTACTACCAACTACATTAGTTTTTCACTATGGCCATCTTGATTCACATTTACTTTCCCCTTCCCTTCAAATAAAAAAAACTACCATGCAATCATTTTGTACGACTCCCAATCAAGTTCATTCCTAGCATCCTCGGGGCACACAAAAGAAGGTTTAGTCAAATTTATCAATTAAAATATCGATAAATGCATCCGTTTCCCTGTAATGAATAATCAGTTTATCCTAACTACATCTTGCTTATATTTTTTCTGCATGAAAGATGTAAATGGAGAAGTAAACAAATTAGAATTTAGAACAACAGAACCATATGTAATCAAATGTAAGGTCATGTTTGAAGATTACAAATACTTCAACATGCTACATACATCATAAAATCACAGAATATAGATGATACTATTAAGCCAAAAGAGATGACAATAAATTAAATAAAATTCAATACCTCTCATCACGAGGGCTGCCAAAGTCCCCATTATGATACATAGGACTCTGACTCCTAGATCCAGGACCATAAGGACGCGATGCTTCTGCAGAGAAGGGCAAAATCCCATCATCTTCATTCACATTAGTCCGAACAGAACTCATTGTCCTTTCAACTACCTCCTTCATTCGACTACTAAAAGCATTTGTAAAACCATCAACATATTTAGTATCTTCATGTGCAATATCAGTTTCAGTTGCAAGATCTTTAAGATCCTTCCCTGGCAGATCATTTTCTGTTCGGTCTTTAACAGCAATACCTGTGGAGGAATCATCGTCTAGAGTATCCTGACAAACAATCTGTTTACACAAATAAGAGTTAAAAACAATTTTACATGAGCAGCAGATAGATAATAATGCTTGGGCTAAGTGCAACTGAAACAAGGCTTCACAGCTAACCTCAATAACTGCATCTGAATCACGGATACGAGGCGGTCGAGTATCAATGGAGGGGAGACGTTCCCCAGAACCTCCCTCAACTTGTATTGCTCTCCCAGTTGGCTGCCACAGTAAATAAAAAAACATAAGTTATCGAACAGATAATACATTTAATAGTTCATTGCACTTGTAGTAAGATAGTTAATATTGGACAGTAATGGAAGAGAAGATACAGGAACATATCATAAGAGCCAAGAGTACAAGATAAGTATTTACAGAGAAAATTGAAGTATAGTTGAAGAATCTACATCTAAAAGATGAGTTTTATAATTATATTGCACGTACTGTAAAGCCAGTAACTGAAGCTTACTAGAGGTGGTCGCATGAGGGCAGTTCCTTTTGTCAAATCATTTTGCCCACCATTTGACTTTGCAAAATTAGCAGCATCGGCAGGAATCTCTTGCCCGGTTGCTGCTGCCAATTCTGGAGGCAAATCTGGATCATAGTCCTAGAAGAAACCAAGACAATTATACCATTAATAGAAATAGCAGAACAGCAGAAAACATTGCATCAATAGTCAATATTATTACTTATTTGTTGAAGGTTTTTTTCAAAATATTAAGAAAAACTATTGAAGGGAAACATTTTTTTAGATATGCATAAACAAGCACCTGATTACCTGCTCTGTTCGTCCACTTTCATAAACACGAATTTTGCTTTGCATGGTTGTCTCCAAGCGACGTTGTTCCTACAAGATTTTAACATTCAACCTTCAAGATCTCAGTTCACAGAAGAATGAAATAAGGAATTAATTAAGTTTACAATTACCAGTTGTTTGCAATAATCTTTCCAGCTCTCCTCATTCAGACCAAAATTGAAGAAGTCTGAAAGATCAACACCGGGATATTTCCATGGCTTTTCCTCAAAACTATCAATGTCCACTTCGAATATAGTCCTGGATACACATAAGGATAAATTAAAAATTATTCACGCAAAAAACAAAGAAAGAAATTAAGAGTTTGCGCATGATATTTGAAAAATAAACACAACAAATTGTGAAAGAAGCCAAAAAGTTATCTTGCAGTAAGCAATTTGTCTCCATATTCAGCTTAAAAAAGCTAAAATTAAATGAATTTAGTATATCTTGCACAAAATTCACACTATCAACTAAGGATAAATAATTACATTATTATAGAAAAATGAGCAATTACTTGTGAGAAGGAAGCGTGAAATCCAATCCACCACCAATACCCCGTCCCATATTGTTACCCCAACCAGGCATTCCAAAACTAGGATGGAAACCTTTTTGCATGGAAGGCCCAGCTTTCAGTCCAGGTGGTCTCCAATCACCTCTACCCCGAGAAACCATAGTACCCATTACTGGACGAACCTGAGCTGGTGCACCTCCGGGACCACCTGCAGTAACTCCAGGCATTGGTGCTGCACCAGGTCTTACATACTGCATGAAGTTGAAAATAGATCATATATCATTAATCAGAAAAAGTGAAAAAGACAGCATAAGTTCATAATAAAAGAAATGGGAAGTTTATCGAACAATGCAGTTTTTTTGGCTCAGCTATAAAAATGTAATATACAACATATGATCAGAACCTTGATATAGAAGCATTAAACTTTCCATTTGATAACACAATCAAGACTAAGGCCAATAATAGCATCATACAACCAATTGCCAATTTTAATGTTAAAGAGTGCTAAATCAAAATATCTTTATAGCAAGCACAAAGACAATATACAAATCAGAAAACAAGGACAGATACACGTGCAACCAAAATGTCAATTACACTATGAATCCTGAGCTGGAAACATATTCACCTCTATGACCAATGAGAAAGGTTAGGTAAACCAAATTAAACTGTTATTTCGAAATTGGAACTGGTTTGCAACAAGCATTAAGGGAAGAGCTCTCATCAAGGGTTCAGGCTGATCTAGGTTACATTTCAATAAATAGAAACATTGCGCCTTTAACTATAATGTTTCTATAGTTACATCTCTTTTACCAATAGGTTGTTTACACCTTTCTTTACAGAAGCATCTAGATTTGATTTTGAGCAAAAATTACTTGACAAAAAGTAACAAATAGTTCTTAACACAATTGTTTATTTTCAACAGCTACTACCGAGAATTATTGGTGTAGGAGACGAATGGAATATCACCAGAATGACAGATATATCTTCACATATTATGCCAACAAATGCATGAACTATAGTTGTAATTTTGTACAACGTCTGCAAAGGTTGTACCATTGAAACCATTAATTAATGTGCCCAGAACATTAAAAAACTAAGTCGAAAACTTTTTTTTAAGTTTCCGGTTCATGTTTAAGATCAGGGATTGCTAAATTGAATCATCCTTTCTTACAAGTTAGTGTTGCATAGTCAACAGTTCGAGCAAATTTGGATCAATAAGTGAGATTTCGAGTAAAGCAATCTTCAGTTTAATATCGATAGGCCTAACACAAGTGCCATCATAGGCTCACCAAAAGACTGAAGGTTTAGTTCAAGGATATAAGCACAAATATTTATGACTGCAACTTATGATCTTCAACATTCTTGCTTCTTCAAACCAAATTCTTGGGTCCCCGACGAAGACGATACTCTTTAGTTCTTGTTTCTTCAATTGGGGCTTTGATTTAGTTTAAATGGTTGCAGGTGTTGGTTTTCTTTTGTGTTATGTTATTTTGCGTTGTTTTTTTTTTCCTTTTGCTGGAGGTGTAATTTAGAAATAGGGTAATTGTCGATGGGGGTTTTCCGGTTGAGGATGTGAGATTTTAGATGTTTTTGGTTTGTTGTAATGGTGTATTTCTTCATATGAGGATATTCCGTGTTTCCATATGTATTCGATATAATTATTAATAAACTATGAGGTACTCTTCTCTTCCTTCCAATGTTCGTTAACATACGTCTTAGTATGTGGACGAATACGAAGGGAGTTTTTAATGAGACCTGAACTTTTATAAAAAAAATGATCTTCAACATTCAAACATAATAGCTAAGCAAAAAAAAACATCAAAATATAATTTCCACTCAAATATTGCCACTTGTCCGTATTTATCGTTCGTTCTGTAGAAAGTTTGCAACCCAATAACTAAAGTGAATTCCTAATCATTCATCAAAAGGTCGGAGCATATGACAAACAAAAACCGCAACTTTTGTCTATTTCCATATTTTTTTTAATTCAACAACAACAGCATCAACATGATAACTCACTGACCTTAAACTGAGAATGCAACGGATGAAACCCATGACTGCTGTTCCCAATTTTCGGCACAACCACGCTCCCTCCTCCGCTGCCAGCAGAGCCTAACTTCCCTACTTCACCCCCTTCTTTCCCTTCACCATCCGCCGCCTGCCCTCCTCCTTCACCCCAATCCTGTTCCTCCATCCCTTGGTTAGCATCTCCATCAGCCACTATCACAAGAGGGTCCCCATCTTCATCATCTTCCCCCATCATTCCTCCTTTTTCCATAGCCATCGGGCCGTGGTTGTTGTCGTCCAACACTATCTGTAGATCATCTTCACTGTCACTATCCCAATCATCCCCTTCTCCTTTTCCTCCTACTCCTCCAGCTTCCACTTGGCCGCCGCCGCCGCCTATAATTCCGTTATCGGTATCGTCATCATACCTCCCAGAATCTCCCTGGGGAACCCATTCGGTTAAACCCGGAATTATCGGGTCATCCGAGCCCGAACACTCAATTGCTTTACTACTCCCCTCTTCAATATCGAAAATAACATCATTCCCATCAGCAGGTTCTCGTTTAGAATCCAAAAACATCGGCTTGGGAGGTGAATCGTCTCGATTAGGGATCGAACCCAGAATTTCTGCAGCAACAGCAACGGGAGGATGGAAATTAAAGGTCGCTAGGGTTTGAGCATCGGGGATTGGACGCGGGGCTCCGAGGAGGTTATCGTCGCCGTATCGGGATTGAAGATTGGAATCAACCGGACGGTGGAGTTGGGGGGCTGTCGAAGGCTGAGACGGTGGCAGACCAGCGGAAGTGAAAGGCTTGAGAACGTCGGAGTAAAGATCTCCGAACTCATCGTCGTCTTCCATGGGAAATCCTTGAAAAGAACAAGAATAGTGGGCGAGACGGGGGAAACAAAGAGAGAGTTGGGGAAAAGGGTTTTGTTTGTGTTTTTAAGGTTTGTTGGTCCTCTAAATTTAAAAAAAATATATGATCTCGAGATTTTTTTTTTAAAAAAATCTTTTAATTTCTATTGAAATTAAAATAAAAAGATTAATTTCTTTTGATTATTGGATTACGACAATTAAAATCAAACGATTAATTTTTGTGATTATTGAGTTGCTAAAAAATTAAAGGATTAATTTCTTTTAGTTTTCGTTGGTTAAACAAAATCAGGTTTTTATGACTCTTTTGGGTTTTAGTGTTATTAATTTCGTCGTTTAATAGAATATATAGAAGGAAATAAATCATCGAATTTAATTGGATTCGGGTCATATTTTTTAAAGTTGATGTTCGGATTGGATCGGATTTGAATTTAAGGTAAAAAATACTCGATCCGACTCGACCTGGCCTAAAAAATATAATTTTACCTTATATATTTAGGAATAATTACAATAATACCCCTCTATATATTATTTTTTTCAATTAAACTTATTTTATTGAATAAAAATAATATTTTTTATTATTTCGAGACGATCGTGTCGGATTCGAATTTTATCTCAAAATTCGGGTTGGATTCGAATTGGATGGATGATATATATTTTTCAAGTCAGGTCAAGTCGGGTTAACCCAAACCCGACCCAAACCTTACTCATGTCATCCCTAGATTTATCAAAACCACTTAAAATCAAGACAGGCTAAGAAATACGGCTCAATGTTTGAGATTCAAGATGAAGTCCTCTCAAAACAATAGAAGAAAAAGAGAGATTGTGCCATAAAAAAACAAACTCGATATGAAAAATGACAAGATTGAAATTTTTGGATCTTCTCTTCTTTTGATCCGTGAAACCAAAAAAAAATAATAGAACTCGAACAAAAATAAGGGTTCGATTTGTGGGCGATGAAGACGATACCATCGAAGACTATTTCAAAAGTATTTTTAATGCTTTGGAGCCTTGTTGTTTACAAGTCGCAAAGTGTAAGACGTTCTTCGGATGTCCTTTGCTGGATAAAATGTGTACATGGTCTTCATTTTTCTGGTCTTGGTGAGCCTAAGTGATGGGGAATTGCCTTTCAACATCCTAGCTGCATTACACACGCTTGGTAAGTGATTTTTTTAAGGTTGGAGTTGTGTCTGTTGGGTGCTTCTTTTTCTTCTATGTAGGGATGGGCACGGGGCGGGGCGGGCGGGTTTTCGGCCACTCCGCTCCGCCCTGACTCGAAAGTATATTACTCAAACCCGACCTTACCCCTCGCCGATAAATTTTAATATTTTTTATGTCCCAATCTCATCCCAATTTTTATATTAAGACCTCGACCCGCCCTAACTTGAATATATTAATATTTTAATTGATTAAAATAAAATATTTTATAATAATTTTTATATTTTTAATAATTAAAGAATATATCTTAATAATACAAAAATAAAAATCCTTAAAATCTTAAATATTATATATATATATATAAAGATAAATTAATAATATATATTGGGTCGAGTTTTTTTTTCACCTTAGACTCGACCCTTAAATTATATACCACATAATCCGCCTCGCCTCATCCCAAACCCCAAAATTTTAAAAAAAAAATCCCTATAGGGTCGGGTCGGGTCGGAAACCATTGAGTTCAGGTATTTTCTTGGCGTAAAATACAAATGTGAGGGTGATATTCTGGCAGTTGTTTGAAACTTTGGAAAGGGCTTGGCATTATTTGGAGTGATGTCCGCAATCACATGGGTTGGAGCATTGGTAATGGAAAGGATGTTGATCTTTGGTTTGCCGATTGGATTCCGAACATTGGCCCCCCTTATTAAACATGTCCATCCGCACGTTGCCCCTGCCCTTGCCAGGAGTTTTGTAGCTGATATGGTGGATTAAGATGGAAATTGACGATGGGCATCATTTCAAAGCCTACTGCCTTGGTCGATTCTTCTTCGAGTTGCCACTATTAAGGGTCCCAGACCTTCGTTTATGGGAGATACTGTGGGGTGGTTGGGTCGTGCGGATCGTAAGTTCATTGTGAAATCAAAGTCCACCAAAACAGTACTGCTGCAAAACAACGGTCCGTTAGTACCAACTAGTAAGTCATTGTCTAAAAGTGGAATCGATTTCAAGAAGAACAAAGAAAAGGGTGTTAGTGCTAGAGTTCGGCCTATTGCTGATGTCGTCGGGTGTTATTTTGAACGCCGACGTACATTGGGTGGCTTTTCACGGCGGATATGACTTGGGGTACTTGCCGGAAAAGATCTTCCTCTAACGAAACAAGGGTTCTTTAGTTTGGTTAAGGTTTAGTAAGTTACCATGATTGTTTCAAAGGCACTATAATACCATGCAGTTCATCTTCTTTAATCAGATAAGATTCAAACTCTGAACAAAATGAATTGAAAATCGAATGATTCAATTCAAGGCACTGGAAAGATTCAAACCCTTAACAAATGACAAGAAAATGACAAGAAAAGAAGAAGAAGAAGAAGAAGAAGAAGAACGACAAGAATTATCCTTCGATTCATTAGGGTTCATTACTTTGATCCACCGCACCAAGCCAAAACAGAACACCGGCAAGTTTCTCGGTCTCACGATCACCAAAGAAACGTGCTTTCAGCCTCATGAACACACGGCAAGTAACCAAACTATCCGAACCGGCTTGGTGAGCAGGACCAATCCTCTCGATCTGCAACTGTTCTGCAACATTTTTTAACGAACCATGGACGCCATTGGCACGCGTAATCATGTGCTTGACATCATATATGTTGGGGAAGAAAGCCCTAACCAAATCAAAGAACCCTTGTTTCGTTCGAGGAAGATTCGTCCCCGTGAGCAACTTCAGCGAGTACCCTATATCATATCCGCTGTGAAAAACCACCCAATGAACTTTGTGGTTAGAAACGACGCCGGACGACATCAACAGCTCGCCGAAATCCCTGAAACTGACACCCTTTTCTTTGTTCTTCTTGAAATCGATTCCACTTTCCGACAGTAACTTAATGGATTGTTCTTGATGAGCATCTTGTTGAGGGTCGAACTCGTTGAAGTTGAACTGCCAGACGCAGTGTTTATCGGTTCCACATGTAGGCAAGTTTCCTTGTGCATCGGAGAATGTTAGACCCAACTGGATCATCTTCAACATATCGACGTTTAGCTTCATTGTTTCGTAATCGAATATGTTGTTGGAAGTGCCGGTGGGTACTACTACCGTGCCTGGGAACTCGGTGTCCATGGCGATGTAAGGGTACTTATCCACGATGGTTCGGATTAATCTGATTTCAGAAGCCAAGTTTTCGTCCCAAACTTCTCTTATCTGAACTGATTCACTCGTCGGGAAATTCGACATGTTTCTTTACCAAAAGAGAAGGAATGAAGGCTTGATTTTCTTGGATAAGAATGGAAGAAACCCCAAATTCCCAGGATCAAGGTGAAACACCAACAAGGAGGATAGTACTTGTTTCTCACGATCAATGGAGAATAAGAACCCATTTATTGGAAGAAAAAAACAATCAAAGCCTTGAAAATTAAAGAAACTAAAGAAATGATGCAAGTAATTGTCCTACAATTATATTAAACATGATTTAAAATAGAAACAAAAAATAATTATTAAATAATTAAATTAAACTATAATTATTAAGAATAATTACATAAATTTAACATATGAGTTATACAACTATAAAACATTATAATTGATAAGAAATTCCATAACATAAAATTTACACTTTATAATAAGAATATAATGTTAATGCATATTAGACATTAATTAAATTTTAAAAATACACAAAAATAAAGTCATAAATAATAGCACACAAAAGTGTTATTAACATAAAAAAAATTTGTTTAGTGATAACTGAGACTCTCAAACTTTTGAGGAAAAATAATTAGCGTTTTCCTTAAACTTTTTTCACCAAATGTAATCGTTAAACTTAGAAAAAATATTGATGTGACAGTTTAATATACTATTGTGACAGTACTCGATGGACGATGATGTGGTATATGAACTTAATTGATTATTTTAAAAAATTTAAGGACTCGTTAATTTTTAAAAAATATATATTTAAATTAAAAATATTATCAAGATATTCAATAAATTTAAATATAAAAATACTACAAAATTAAATTATTAAAAATTAATTTAAGAATTACATTGGACTATATTGACTTTTTTTTACAAAATTTTGAGGGTTTCAAATACAATAAAAAAATTATAGTTAGAATAATTTAAACATGTATAAGATAAGTTAAAAAGCTAGATATAATAATTTCTTTGTTCTTCTTGAAATCAATTTCGAATGAAATTAAAATTAATCATAAAATTAAATCATGATCTAATCATACCAAATCATTAAGAATAAGAAATACAAGATTTGTAAAAGCGTACCTAAATCGAATGTTGGAGATTACCTAGAAGGTTGAGATCTTGAAGATTGCCTTAGGGTTGAGATCTTTCAAGAAGATAGGTTTGTTGTGACGGAATAGGAGTAATACAAGTTAAACTAAATCTTCGGATGTCTACCTCTTTATATAGAATGAATATTGGGTGAATCAATTAAGTATTTATAATTTTCCCTCTCATCGAATAATAAATACAACTAATGATATTTCGATATGTTTCTCAATTGATTCACTCATCCAAAAATCCGACTTTTTTCTTTATCAAAAGATTTTAAAGACCAATTTTTTGAAATTTGTTATTTTAATAACTTCATGATGTTTTATTTTAGAGTTAATTGCATCGTAAGTCTCCAAACTATGAATCACATTTTAAATTGATCTATAAATTTTTAAATATTATAATTTCATCATCAAATTATGACACTCATTCTAAATTGATCCCTAAACATTTTTAATATTCTTTGTTTACTTTCATCCTCAAACTATGGTCATCATTCTAAATTGATCCTTAAACTTTTAATTATTCCAATTTAATCCCAAATTCATCCAAATATGTAATTAGTTTTAACTTAATTTAACCAAAATTTTATTTTTTTCAAACATATAATAATATAGCTTGGCCTAGAGATTTCATCAACATGGGACGTGATTAGTATATACATATAAGTTAAGATGAAGTTGAAATGTTGAAAAAGTCCGGGAATCATTTTAGAATAAATGATATATTTCGGGGATAAAACGAATATGTTAAAAAGTTTAAGGACAAATTTAGAATGATAGTCGTAGTTTAAAGATGAAATTGAAATATTTAAAAGTTTAAAGATCAATTTAAAAAGAGAAGTATAGTTTGAAGACATATGATGCAAGTAACTATTTGTTTTATTATTGTTTTTATATTTTTTTAATCCGACGAGAACGACATACTTCATTTAGAACCTTAAGTACAAGGGACTTTAGATGTCTCTTTCGCTCATTTTTCCCCTATCATATTTTCACATCAATTAATCTTTGAAGTTGTTTAATTACATCATTTTATACCCTACCTTAACTTAAAATCTTAAATTATAAATCATAAGTTAGGGTTTAAGATTTAACTTAAAACCCTAAATTATAAATCATAAATTAAAATTTAAGATTTATGGTTGATAGGTTATAGGGTTATAGTTTAGAATTTAGGGTTTGTAATTTAAGGTCTGAAATTAAGAGTAGGGTATAAGTCTGATGCAATTGACCAATTAAAATGATTAAATTGATACGAAAATATGATATGTGCAAAAGTGATAAATTGAGCCTACTACACAGACAAAAGTTACCCTTCTACCATGAAAAAAATATTCCACATGCATAAAATTTCAAGGGGTGCGACTACAACTCGGCATCTATCGGTCCGTTCATGTCTCCCACGTACGACATTTTACCCTCGTATTGTTAATATTTCGACTGCATCCCAACATCTTTCTGCCCATTCATGTCTCCCCGCATTCGACTCTTCGCCCTGATATTGCACTTTCGATAATATCGCTAATATTATCGAAAGTGCATTACAATTACAAAAGTACAAGATAATACATACGAAATACAATGTTCATCAGACTTCAAAAGTAAAACAAAAATTCTTCAGATAACTCTACGAAGAGCAATTCAGTCAACAAACCAGAACGTGCTAATGTCTTCACAGATCATAAAACCACATTTCAATAGGTAAACCAATCGAAGCCTTGAGTTACAAAAGTAGAGAAGATGGGATCTTACTCTGGAAAATCGAAAACGTAGCAGCTGGGGGCAAAATAAAACGAGAATCGAATTGAAATCTGCAAGGGCTTTAGAGAAAGACCATGTTTATAGCTATATGCTTTTCACTTGCCTCCTCTGTTGCTTTCACCTTTGACGATTGTATCGTTTCGTTTTTAGATAAAACGACAAGAAAAACATCGGAAATACAGGAGGAGGTAAAGGGCTGCAGTCAGTTACTAAAGAACATACCAAGGGCACAGCATATGTGATCATTGATTAATCTTACAGTTTATTCTTCTTAGCTATGTAGGGTTTGCTGTTTTGAAGTTTGATTAAAAATAGCTTACCTCAGTTCCGCAATCGGCAAAGTGCGAGATAAATCTTACGGTTGCTCCTTGGCATCTCTAAATTATGGCTGCTAAATACAAAGGAAAATAGAAAGAAAATTGATCAAAACTTACAGTAACATCCTTGAAAGGATGAGTAAAGCCAAAACCATCATAGGAATAGCTCGAAACCACCATGAAAACATGCTTACAAACAATGGGTGGCCGTCGTGAAACATTTCCCGTATCATCCATGATCCATCCCCCACCTCTCCCTCCTCTAATATGCATTCATCATTACAAAGAAAAAAAAGCAAAACACGTAATAGGTTCAACGAAATGATCAGTATATCCATGATAATAGAAATGACACGCTGATGGTAAAGATAACAGATAGTATAAGTAGATTGCAAGCGGAACGCAAAGTCTAACAAATGGATTTTATTTAATAATTCTTTGATATTTAAGAAGTATTCTGTCAATTCTCAACAACCAAAACCATATAACAAACCAGCATATTTCTCAGTCCACCAACTAAAGAAATTTTTCTTTGAATCGTTACGGAGTACTCTGTCCGTTCTCAACACCAAGACCGTATAACACACCGGCATATTTCTCTGTCGACCCACCAAAGAAATTTTCTTTCAGTTTCATGAATGTACAACAAGTAAGCAAACTATCTGAACCAGCTTGGTGACAAATCCCAATCCTCTCCACTTCTAACAGCTCGGCGAGCTTGTTCAACCCACCGTGAAGGCTATTGCAAAACTTCATCAGATGCTTGATGTCGTATAGATCCGGGAAGTAAATCTTGATCAACCTAAAGAACCCCGTTTGCGTTTCGGGAAGATTCTTGCACGTAAGCAACTTAAGCAAATACCCGAAGTCATAACCGCTATGGAACGTCACCCAATGAACATTATCATTCAAAACAATCCCAGATGACATTAACAGTTCACTAAAGTCATGAACACTAACACCCTTTTCTTTGTTCTTCTGAAAATCGATGCCGCTCTGAGACAAAAGCTCGATGGAATCATTAGCATACACGTCCGAGTTGCGATCGAATTCGCGGAAATTGAATTGCCAAATGCAGTACTTATCAGTTCCACAAGTAGGCAAATTCCCTTTGGCATCCGAGAAAGTAAGTCCCAACTGAATCAGTTTCAAAAGATCAACATTGGCTTTCAATGTATGGTAATTGTAATCAAAACTGCTCTTGAAATTGCCTATTGGGCGTAGAACAATGCCGGGGAACTCGGTGTCCATAGCAATGTAGGGATAATCATCAACAATATCACGAATCAACTCGAATTCACAACCCAAATTCTCATCCCAAACTTCTCTTATGTGAATTGATTCATTTTTAGGCAAAATCGACATCTTTCTTCACCTAAAACAAAGGAACAAAGTTCTAATTTCCTGGAAAACTATATAAAAAAACCCAAATCCCCAGAATCTGCAACAACAAAATAAAAAACCAATAGGTACCCATTTCTCCCAATAAAAAAACAATAACCCATATCTCGAAAAACAATCAAAGCCTTGAAAATTCAAAAAAAAACATGAGATCTTACCCCGGGAAAAGTGGCAACTGAGGGGAAAATATAATGAGATTCGAATCGAAATCTGAAGGGGATCTAGAGAGATCAAATGAATAATGGTAGGAGGAGGGTTTATGGATTCTTGTCTTTATTATTATTTTTTTCTTAAGAAAAAAACGAGAAATTGAAATTTCGGACGCTATGAGTTTCGTTTTCTTTGTTTTATAGAAATGGGGTTAAGGATGGGATGAAGAAGATGAAGAAAGCTTTTACCCGAAAGCTTCCCTGGGCTTCACATTGTGACAACATCATCATTGAAGAGATAAAATCATTAAGTGAGAGAATAG